GGTGGAATGCAAGACTAGCCTGTCCTATTCCCCCGTTCGTTTCCATTACGTACGGTATCTGCCAGGTCATAAGCAACTTCTATTCCTGATGCATAAGGGGAAAGTATTGCTGGCAACTCACGCGCTCGCCATGCAAACAGATTTCTCCCCGTAAGTGACTCACCGTTCAGGGTGCAGGCTTTGAATGAAAATAGTAAACAAGGGCCTCGATACATTACAAACAGCGTACTCGTGATCTCCTCAGCAAAATTGAGCCAACAAACTAGTTAGGCAACAGTTTACTAGTTTACCCTCGGAGGTGAATTCTTTTAGAACTAGGGCACGCATCTTTGTAAATACTACATTCATCTTAAGATCTTTTTCCAATTCAGTTGATGGTATTTCTCCATTTATCATTGACGTAGGTGGTGTACTGAGCGAATGCCGTGCGTCAAAAATTTTACTACTACAGAATTCGTGAACTTTTCACAACTTTGTCTAGGGATCTTGCACGAACTGGGACCTCACGTTGGACAGCGATTGCTCCCAAGTCGGCTCCCCAACTGCTCCAACTACCGTGACCTGTGGCTTTTAAGAAGACGAAGAAGATCGTCCATCTAGCTAGTGGTACCTGAAGAAGGGAGGAAGATTCAAGGAGTGCCAGTGCCGCAATGAAGTCAGCCAAAACCTAGCGTGCTGTTCTGTGAACTTGGGTTCACTCTCAGGACTGTTTACTGGCCCTCTCCGGTCCAATGTCCCATCCAAGCAAGGGTCTCTTTTGCCGACCACAGCGATTGACGATCTCCTCGTGACCATATCTGAAGATCTCCGCCAACGCACGCCTCGTTAGGTGTGAATCTTAGCCCATGACGTCTTTCCCTATACGCTCTTCTTGCCCACTACTGGTGACTCGGTCTTATAAAAGTGCTTTTCTTAACCCAGTAAAGCAACTCTCCCAGAAGAAACCACACTGATTCCTCTAGTAGGTTTTATTGATCCAAGGATGAATAGGACCAAACTACCATCGAAAACTTGTATTGGGATCAATTCGTATTAGCTTGTGGGACACGAAAGCCGTTAAATCTAGCAATTCGACTGTGTGTGTAACATGGGAAGTTCAGAAGAGTTTCTATGATTATGGGAGCCAGTATCGTGAGGATGTAACCACAGAGTTCTTCAGATATTATACTGAAAGTGGCAGTTCCTTCCGAGTAGTTGCCCTTTCAACTAAGAAAGCGGTAGTTATAAAGAGGCATTCAGTCCATGTGCAATGTGAAGAAAAAAGTGTAAGGTGCTGTCCTTCTGACTCGAAGAGCTGAGTTCTTGTCATTCTCCCAGAACTGCTTCTCATGTCCCCTGATGGAAGTTGGTTCTTAAGCTGATAGCTGCTCCCATATCTGAGAGGAAGACGAAAAACCTACACATAATCGTGGTAATCCACCCTCAAAGACGGACCCATGGCAAATGAGTTTTCCTTAATTAGGCCCCGTTATACACATAGCTGTGATACGATTTTTCGCAAAAGCGCTCCGGAAATCTTTTTGCAGCGAAGGCAAAGCTATGAAAACAATATGAAATAGATTCTGATCTACGTACTGATCATATTGATAAAATGATGGTCTGAAATAACCATCGTAAGTCCTTTAAAAAAATCAAATTGTCTTTCAGTCCTGGAACAGGATCCGAGGACCAGGACCCCTGAGCACATGAAAATGAATCACAGCAGTTATGATTGTAGATGGATAGAGCTTTTCCTTCTTTGGCAAAGTACAACCAACTGGTCCATCATTGATCGCAAAGTGGGTAAAAACTGTAGTTATTGTCCTACCAGAAAATCCACTTTTCACAACGCATCCTCGGAAAACTGTAGGGGCTTTTTTGAAAATTTTGAAGAGGAACTTCCTGCGACTGAAAGGCGTTGACTGCTTTGCATTGAATAGCGACCTTCTCTGCTAAGTATTTCACTATAGAAATGAACAGAATAATTTTACTCAACTCAAAAAGTAAACTTATCATTGAGTTTTGGTCCTGGAAAAGTAACGACGATCATTAGAGAACTAGGAGGGATGGGTCCCTACTAGATCCATTGGTTACTTGCTTTAGTTCAAAAAATATGTATTGATCGGACAAAAAACATCTTACCTCCAGGAAGAAAACCATTTGATGCTAAACGGAATGATCTGGGTTTCTGGACCCACCCTGACAATCGCGCTCCAAGACGTTGGCCTCACAATTAGTGCGCTCCACCCCTCCTTAACCTTGCTCAAGGCTGTAGCCACGCGTTCACCACCTCCAGATTGCCTTTTTCTCTATTTCCTACACTACGCTGATGTTTTAGAGCTCTTTTCTGTGATAGTGGTCATTTTATGCTACTGACCTTACTTCTGAGCCAACAATGAGAATATTGGGCAAGAAGATCTACCAAATATTCAGTGGCGCACCACGAATACTTAGTACAAAGTGATCAGTTTCAATTTTGTAACAAAGTTCTTTCTTTCATTCGATTTTCGACTGAAAACAATTTTTCATAGAAAATGGTCACCCTGCACTAAGCCACAAGCAAGCGAATCCTGGTTAGGAAACTTCCATTCTCGCTGAATTCCCTACTTCCCTTCCGGGCAGTAGGAGAGAAGGTTCAGCTCTGGGAATGCAATCATTCAGGTTTGACGACTATCAGTGGAGGCTCCAGAATAGACATGGGTATGGGATAATATTCTTTCGATTCACAAGATGAGCATCAAAGAAGTAGGGTAATATGGAGATGATCCAAACTTGGTAAAGGTTTGGGAGACGAAATGTCGACAAAGGAATTACGGGTTTCGGGCTCTCCCTTATGGCATCGGATTTGGTCGATCGTCATCCTTTTAGCGATCGAAATATTCATTGGCATAGAATCCGTGCTTTTAAGACGTCCTGAAGAGAGCGGATTACGGTGGCGGGCCTCAGACCCTGCGCGGCGTCGCCGAGTGCCGGCAACTTGTTTGATGGCGTCGCTATCGCGAATTTGTATCGCTATTGGCTCTAATACTCGTTGACAGGTCGCTATAGAGGTTAAACGTCTGGGAGCTAATCGCTCTTTCGGCTGATAACCTAAAAAGTTCACTGGTCACATGTACGGGGGCTCAGGTTGGGACGAATGGACGGCGTAGCTGAACGGGCGGTGAAGAGTCAACGCAAGTCATTTCTCCTTCTACCTTCAATATAACGTCATGGGACTATGATAGGAGGGGTGAATTCTCAAGTGGGATGAAGTTTTACGTATTTAACCTAACTGAAGCTCAACGGTAGAATTTTCTGCAGAATTCTACATATTATTGAAGGGGAGTCTCTCTGCAAAAGGTTTTTTGCATCCCCAAAGTAATTTGCGAAGTGTCCGATTCCGAAGCTGATCCTTGACGTTCCGTCTGAGTTGGCAAACAGAAATTAATAATCCCTTGACAAAGAAGATGGCAAAAACTTATTCCAAGCATCACTTGCAACCTTTACAAAGGAGGCATTCCATTCTTTTCTAGTAGTAAGTTATGTAATCTCGTAGGACCCTCACTTCGAGATAAGAGCTTTTGGAGTTCCAAGAGTTATTAATTATTGTTTCGTGACGTGGTAATGTGTCCCACCCTCAATTTCCTTTCTGAATCATAGTAGCATTTACCTAGGTATTCGTCTAAGATATTATAATAGATGTCTTAACCTATTCAGACGACTTTAAAGGCAATCACTCAAGCAAGAGGGATGTTAGGTTTGGGTGACCTGGATGGGTAACAATTCTGAACTTGAACCTTTGATCATACGAGCGGTAGCACCGCCCTTTGGTATGAGCTCATCCCCAGGTCCGGCCCAAGGTAAAAAAAAAGCTTTCGTAACTTGTTCGATCGGTTCATTCCTATGTTTCTGAATTTCCAAGGTAGGCTTTGCGAGTTTCCTCAGCTGAACTTACATTTTGACATCATTACTTCATCCGATGTGATTCATATCAACAGTTAACTGGAACTATGCCCACCAGAGTCATCTGTAGGATTCTATTCACATTAGGTGCTAGTGACTTTGGAACATGAGGGGATCTGAAACAGGATGAAGAAGCCCAAAAGTGGGTGTAGACAATTTTCACAGAGAACTCTGATGATGAGCTTCTGATTGTGAAACATGATCTCCATTTTTTTCTTTAAAAAATCCGAGAAATTGATTCGAAAAATAGATTAAAAGCCGCTTGTATAGCCACAATTTATCGCGAATATTTACTTTTTTTGGTGGCAGCCCAAATTTTGTGATCTCGTAGCTCCTGAAAAGCTCTATCTGACCTCTTCTGATAATTCGAAGACCTTATGATCGTCTTTGTCCATTTTAGATGATTTACTGCTATTCATTATCACAAAACGGTCGGATCTGATTTTCACCAAAAGAAATGAAAAATGATGATGAGCTTGTAAATAGTGTTTTTTTTACTCATGTAGTGCACCTTAGAATAAACGAATGAAAAATGGACTTTTCCGAGTCTGTGGCCATCCCAACTGACAAGCAGCCACTTCACGACCTCTTCTCATAGGACTTCCATCCAGTTCCCGGTGATAGCACAACATAGGACTAATTCCTTCTATGTAGAAGTGGGTGTTCACCGTAGCTTGCTTGTTACTTTATGTTATTCATGTTTCGATTACAATGTCGGTGGGTTCTACTTTCTCTTCTTCGTCGTATCACCTTTCGACTTGGCCAAATAACAAAGCCCGATAAAAGTAATATAATGAGTGAAATGTTTTTGTGAAATACCTGCTCAAAAGGCTGGAATGAGTCATTTTCAGTGGCTGGAAGACCTTCGTCTTGTTTTGCATCGCTTCAGAATTCCTCTCCAGGCTGTCAAGGAGTTTGAATCGCAGAATTATGCTCCATGTACAAATTGTAGAGAAAAGCAGCGTCTGTTCCGAGCCTGGCACATAGGTTAGTGTAGGAGGTGATCAAATTCCAGGGCGCTGCCTTTGCCCTTACTCAATAAGCAGGTCCCAGAGGATGGGCACCTCATTTCACTGTAGTCACAGAGACGGATGCCTCTCTTGACCCTGTCTCTGGGCAATCTGAATGATGAGCGTATTCTTCGAGCATTTCTCATTGACCATCTTCCCGACTGTAGAGTAATGACTTGCAGCCGCATATGTCAGGCGACGATTCCCTTCTTCTTCTTTCCAACATGACTGATGGATCACAGGTGTCGCGGGTGTTGACGATGGTGGTTGCGGTGGTCGTGTCGTCGACGGCCTAGGGTGTGGATGAATCTGTGCAGTGATCATCATCGATGCACCCACCTACTGTACGACGTCGTGTGTGTCGCGTGTGCCGAATACCGTAATCTATGGCGGAGACGATCGGGCGGTCCCGTGGTGGTCGCACCCGTCGGGCACACGACTCACACGACTGCTGCTTACCTGCCGCTGCATCGTCACACTCTGTAACCAGCCACCATAGCGTTTCCTCAACAGTCTCCGGAAATTTTAGTGTAAAAGTAACCTTGCCTCCAGGAGTTTGACTTCTTTTACTCTCTTCTGCTTTTCAGTAACCAGAAAGTTCTTCTGACTCCTGAATGGTCTTTCCGAATCATTTACTTTTGAGGGGAAGCAAAACATATAGTGATTTCTATAAAGAGATTCAACTTTTAAACGGAACCTCGCTCATACATGCCCAGGGAATAGAAATTGCAGGGGAGAAGTGAGTGTTGGACCTTAATTCTCTTGAAAAATTATCTGAAGCTGAACATTTTGAAGAAAAATTAAAAATCCAAGAATTACGGGCCCGTGACGATAAATTCATTTATTACTTATGATTTCGTCTATTACTTGAAAATTCGAGGTCCACTTAGAACAAAAAAGAAATCGTTACAATTTTCAGTCTTTTTGTTCCTGCTAGCCCGGATGGCAATTTAGAATCTTCTCAAACCTTCTTGTGAGCGTTGGAGCCCTGTGAAGTAGCGAAACTATCCAATCACAAACCTGACCGAACCTATGGTGCTCATGAGTATAATATTTCGAGCCTTGGAGCCTCATTTCCTCGTTGCTAGAGCTGATACACGAGGAATAACCATAGGTAGCACCTCTGCCGAGTGCCCAAGTGACCCCTTGAAGGGGCGATTCAATTTTTTGAGAAAATGGTGCAGAATTTTCACTTGTTCGTAGGTTACTCTGACTATTGGAGGCAAAAGTCGTGCAATCTACGTTAGCGCTCCACACCCCAAGTCTACTTTTCCAGCCACTTAGGTGCTTTAGGTTGAAGTACCAAGCGGTACTACTCGAGAAAAAGCTGCTTGTAGTTACTTCATCTAGAGAGTTGTACGCTCTTCACAATTCCTGTCTACTCGACTGTTTTTAGAATTGCTACCTCTCTTTCCAGTGGCACCCCGAGTCGATTGGTTGTTCTGCCAACACTCGTCACCCTGCCTCGTCATCTGATCACAGTTTGATTCAGTCTCGTCCTCTCCGGTAGTCCTGTTCCGTCGTTAACATCCAATCTGATACTTCTCTGCTCTGCTGATCTCTGTTTTCCACGTGTAGTAAGGTTTTCGCTGAGAAATCATAATGACCTGACGAAAGGATAATGCGAGGACATTGCGAGAGGAGAAATGTAACAATAGAACCATTACAGTAATCACTGGTAATCGTATGGAGTACTACAAAAGCCCTTTTAACTAAGTGCAACCATCCAAGAGATTGTTGTCATCGTGTAAATGATGATGGAGAATGACTGTATGAACTGACAGGGGCAGTGAGAACCCTGTCAGTTCATACAGTTGGAACCATCTAGTCTAATTTATCTAGTTGGAATCATTGTCGTCTGGGAGGATAAAAGCACTGACTTGTACATCGGCTGGCCCCCGCAATTCATTGTATAGTCACATACGCACTCAATACGCCACTAAGATTCAGAATGGATGTCGAATGCCTGGGCGCATCTTTCACATGGGACTGATTAATGCCCCAAGACTTATCCTTTAACCTACTCAAATCGAAATACCGAGCGGGCTCCTATTACGGTCATGGATCTCCGCTGTTCTTTTCACAGAGTTCATCCCTAGCCCTTCCAGCCAGCACCACTGGATCCGACACCTTTACCTTTTGTCATTTCTGGCAACTAGTTTTCGCTGTTCCACTCTGCCTAATCAAGTGCAACCCTCTTTCATCCCAGCCTAATGGGGTAAGTTCCAAAGGAACAGCACAGTACTGGACAGCATCTACTGAATCTTCCACCCTATGGATGTTTTCAAGACGACGTGACTTTCAGCCTTGACTTTACTCTCGAGCTCCCGATGGTATACACACGCACACAATTCGGGCTTGAGGTTCGGGCCAATGTTTGCAGTGCTATTTTTCCGTAGCGCTTGTGACCCGTGCCGTCGTCGGATGGGCGGCTAGTGCCAATATTTGCACGCGTTTCGACTAACTCTCCCCAGGCCGCCTTATGCTACCGGAAGGCTCCAGCAGGGTCGAAACGTGCCGCCATCACCTCCGACATCCCATAACCTTTTAACGAATCGGTGGCGGCAGGCCGCCGTTGCTGCGCTACCGACATTAAGTTGATCAGCATACATCAATGCTAATCCTCTAATTGCTGCTGAATAGACCATGGGAATGGCTCGACGGTGGGCGTGGCTGGACACCATCAAGTCCACGACGACGACAATTACTTGTCTGATTGTATTCAGCCGGAACTACTTTTCTACTACTACTTACGGTCATCCATGATACTGTGGCTGCTTATTCCACCTTCTTTTGACCAGCTGTTACTTTTTCTCTCCTGAACTTCTTAGTTATCTCGAAGTATTACCTGGATATTCTATATTTTCCAATTAAGAATCAAAAAGAAAAGTAGTGATGTCATCTTCAGGGAGTTTCTGGGTACTCGTTCATATGTTTTATAACTTCAATAGAGACGCTCCTAATTAGTGGACAGGAAAATATGAACTGGGCATCACCGAATATGCAGTCTGCCCTGCCCAGAAGTGAGAGCCTACTGAAATGCGTCTGCCCTGCCCAGAAGTGAGAGCCTACTGAAATGCGACAAATATCCAGTTATTTAGCAATGGCCAGCTTCTTGGCCACACCAAACTACCCAACTACGAGTGCTTTTCTACCCTAATCCCAACGCTCACCCATCAGCGTCTTTACAATTAGCCGAAGGTTTTACAACCATTTTCGACTTTCTTCGAATTCGGGAGTTTGAAGTTATTCCTTTCCCTTTTCTCACCCCATTCCTGAGCCTGGACATCTAAGTGCCTATTCATTTTTGATGATCAGAGAAATTCTCATTGGAAAATTTGCTTTATTGAAACGGGTGAGAGCTCAAAGCCTCCTCCCTCGAAGAAACTTGATCTGATCTACAATTTATTGGGCTCTTCTTCGATCGTTTCATGTAAATAATAAGATGAGCAAACAGAGCAGTCGTAATTTTAGGTGTTCCTCCTTTATGGGCGGTATGCCTTTTGACTTTGAAACATGTGAGTTTTGGGGCATTCGCAATAACTTACAGTCTGAGTATCAGGGCATGTGCTCACTTCTTTCCCTTCGTTTCCTATTAGCATTTGATCTATTTAAACATTTGGAACCTAGAAAATAGTGTCCTACGGGAGTTTTGGACCAGTTTACCAGTTGAAAGGTACCGCTCATAAGAGAGGAACACTCAGAAGCATGATCGCTCTGTTTGTTTTTCTTCTCACATGGACCGATCAAAGAAAACCTTAGCTAACTATAGATGATGATGAGTCTCTTTGAAGGCAGGGAGCATTTCTAGCTGAGTACTTACAGTTTTTCTCTCACATAACCTTATTTCTCCCAGTACTTTTCGAAGTATGGTCCTCTCATCGAAGGATCTTCAGAATCTCCTCTCGTTCGTCTATTGTTCATGCAGCAGTTACCGGAAAAAATCTCTCCGAAGAAAAAGGTATTCGGTGCAATGCATTTGGCAAGCAAAATTCACAGCGAGCACAGCTGGAGCAATGAAATCTTTCCTGCTGTTTGGAGATCCCGCTGAGAAGTCAGTGCAGCGTTTGATCACATGAGCTCACAAGATCACTTGGAAGGGTTCCACCGCTACAATCAGTTTTTTCCAGGCATTCACGCCTGAATTTTCGATGGATCGCTAATTTGATAGTCAGACTTCCTTTCTAGATATTTTTGATATGGGAACCGATTGAATTTCGGATTTAATTGGATCGGAGCCCTTTACCTTTTCATCTTCATGCAATTCACATATCATTTCAATGTGCGAGAATTTTTTCTGATCCATTCGATTTCTCAGAGTTCCCCATTAATAGCACTTCTACGGTTACCGTCATAAAGCTAGGGTTGCCACTCCTCTGAATTTGGAAGCTGGTGTTGATGATGTTAGTCCCCATGCCGTAGGGATTTGAATCCTGAATGGTGATCAGAAATAGAAAGGATAGCTCAATTCCGATCATAATCATGGAGTTAACTCTATTCAACCCAATCTGTAACTCAAACTGGTGGAGCTCTTGGAGCTTCTGGGCATGAACCTTCCATTATCACCAATTCAGGATCATCCATATTACTTTCAATGGGATTTCCTCGGGAGTTTGTTTTCCTTGATTAGCTAGTTTTCTTGATTATTTGAAATATAGTGCTCAAATGATTGAAACCAGAAGCAGATACTGGCAAACCTATTGATATCTAGTAAAAAATCGGTTTAAAAAGAAGGAAGAAATATGGGAACGAAATAATTCTATGTGACTAGCTAGCTACTTCACCATTTTTTGGTCATCCCCTTTTAATCGCTCATGCACCAGTGAAGCATCAAAAAGACGACCCGCCATTACGTTCCAAAGCTTACCTAAGTAAATGTGTCAGTTCACGGTTACGGTAGTCGCGGCATATTGTTTTGAATGGCAAGGCTGCGCACGCAGTACTGAGCGTTGGCTGTATGAACGATTGCTACCCGTAGCGATAAGGAATCGCCGTCCGTCGCGCGAAGTCAACTGGCGACCGGCGCTTTCCTTCCATGCGGCGATCCTTCTTTGTATAAGAAAAGGGTATCTTATGGCTGCGGTACGATTACTACCGTAGTACCCATTTCTTGGTGATAAACACGAGGGCCTGCAAAACGAAGCTGTATAGTTGAGCTGGTAGGATATTTGCGTATCCGGAAGCGAGTGTTTGGGAGACTTTGCTTGCATATGCATATGATTTGCATAACTAGGTTTCGAGCTACTTCTATGAGCTCATTGAGGAGGGAACGGACTGACCCCTCCAACAAGGAATGGACCGGAATACTGATTTCCAGAGTGGGAAGTTTTGTTACGACGCAGAGTCGAGTATTCAGGGGTCGATAGGAATCTCTAGTTTATTGCGAACTTCACAAGCACTATTTGTAACAATCAGACTCTTCAAATTCATTTAGTAACTATTTATTTATTTAGCAGGATTATCATTGGCTAGTATACTAGTCCCATTACAATAAGTGAATTTCCACAAAGTTAAGGACTTTTCTTCATTTACCATCTCATTCTCTATAATGTTTCTGAATAGAATAACCAAGAAGTTGTACGTTCATGACAACGTCTCAGGCCCATTCCACTCCCCAGTTAGGATCACGAACCTGTTTGTGCCTTTTGCGATGCTCACCGTAGAGGATTTTTCGGTTTTTGGGTTCCGTAGGGCAAATCAGATGAGTGGGGGCACATGTAAAAATGCAACCCTTTATTTTGAAGCCGAAGGTGTTCAATTTTGAGGCACTTGAGAACAACTGGAACTACAACGGTCTTTTGTATAAGGTTCTGCATCCGAAATCGGGTGGAAGGATTATTAAATTTGAAAAAAAAAAACGATCCGTAGAAAATTGCGCACAGGGATCGATCAAATCTGAGCAAGTCATGTTCTTCAAAATAAAAGTGCTCAGGTTGAAAATTGCTCAGAGTGAAATAAAGGTTCATATTTTTGAATAATCGGAGATAACTTCCAGCCCTGAATTCCTCATACCTTCAGTTCCTGCTCAAAAGCTCCAATTTCGAAGGTGAAATCGGAGAGCTCTTTAATTGCTACTCGTCGGTTCCAATATTTCTTCATTCACTTTTCACCCTCCCTTCGCTCTAAAGCAAACATCAAAACGAAGATTTCCGTTACAATCTATGCAACTGTTTTCCGCAATTTTAAATTCTGTGCCGGTTTGAAAAGTTCAAAAGCGATTTTTCAGAATGTACTCAGACATAGAAAGCTTCTCAAGCGATGAAAGAGGACATACAAAGAAGGTTTGATCATGACTTTTGATTGCTTTTGATTTTTTTTCGATTTGTTACTCACTGTACTTAGGTTCACACTTTTTTTTTTTACAAAAAAGAAATATGCTACACCTCCGCCGCTAATAGAGCAGGCGTTGTAGCGAAGGCATAAAGGAAAGGCCAGGCACCTCCATGATTACTCTTTTTTGCTTTTCAAGCATCGGCTGTCTGGTAAGGTAAAGGATAATGGATAAAATGGTGTTTTATCCATGGGTACACTGAAACTGAACCTCCTCCTACATGAGTACCGTTTTCCTCTCCAATTTCAACTTTCTCCGTTTATCTGTTTTACCGTCAACCAGACCCATCTTTTCGAATCTAATATGTCTTCTTGGAGTTAATCAATTTTCGCAAAGGCCATCGACGTAATTTGTTGGCCGCGAAAAAGAATGCACTTACAGTTTTTTCTGGCTGAAAATGAAAGTGTCGATTACTCGATTTGTGGCGATCGAGACTGAAATGGAGTCCGCCACAACAAGGCCGTCTTTTTTTCACCATCAGCCACTGAAAAAGCGCTGACAGATTTAGTCGCCGTTGAGGGTGTACCTATTACAAAATATTCAACATAGGCTGGCTAGGGAATATTCAAGTAAGCATTATTTATGGGAGAAGTGTGGTGAATGAGACCGCCCCACTTTACTCTTCCTCACCCGACTCCCCGCCTCCTTCATGTGCCTTCCTTTAGAAGGATGTAATGCCGCAAAATAGAGACGCCGCGCCGACGTGGCGACAATTTTGGATTACTCGTGAGGTGGTAAAACAGTTCAGAAGTACAGGTTGCTCACTCTCTGGAGGAACGTATAGTCTCAGAGGGGCCTGAACCTGCTTTATGAGTAACGCGCTCTCATTCCATACAATTGAAAAAACGGCGAAATGGAAGGAGGGGGTGGGCGTGGACAGCTTGAGTGAACTGAAGGCATTGAGGATGTAACTATAACGCCTACACAGTATAAAAGTTGCCTGCGGGGTTCCGTTTTGGTTTTTTAGGTAAAAGAGCGACTCTTCTCTCTTCCTTTTCACCCGTCCCTATCCTCCAAATAGCCTTTCCAAAGTAGTTATAATTTTCGATGCCAACTCTGCATGGTACTTTCTCACCCAGAAGACGTCGGAATATTGGGGCTTTTCTGCCCACTCAGCTACCTTCGCATTCCTACTTTGCGGTGAAATTTCAAGGTGAGACCGATGTGGTGCCTATCTAGGTTAGCAGCCGTCTTGAATAAGACTTTGACACCTTTCTTAGATCCCGATGATGGAGTGCCTCAAAGCTTAATCATGGCGAGTTAAAGGAAATAAAGCATCAGTTTTAAAAAAAAAGTGATTTTTTATAATGCTCTATAGGCTTGGAATTCATTTGGACATTTTCAGACGAACAAACCGATGATGGAAAAGAAGCGACGTGCCCGAATAAATCATTGCTTGAGTGAACTGAAAGAAATTCTCATCTGTGACAAACACGCGGTAAGCCCAAAACTGTTTTCAAAGCATAAAGCTCACCAAATTACTTCCTCCGTCTTTCCGCTAAATATCTGTCTTTTTGTAATTTGCCCTCAAAGTATGTACATATGTAGGGTCTGGATTGGCTTTTTCTTCCACAGAACTAAAGAAATGGTCATTAAGTCCGAACATCTGGGTAGGCAGTTTTCGTGAAGTGAAGAGAATCCGTTGATATTTTTGATATTCCATTTTGACGCTTGCAAACTCATATTTAGGTGCTAAAGAAATGTTTGGGTAGTTTTTTTTTCCTATTTGCACTCTCAGCCTCTTTACAGTTCAGTTAATAATCAACCTATCCTTTACGCTATTCTGAGCAAATCAATTTCACGAATCGATCATGCAATTTATGTTCAAAGGCACATTCACGACAATTTTGGGGTGTCTGAATAGTTTTATACGATTAATAGAAGTGCTAGTCCAGAATATTTCAAAAGAGACGAAGAAAACGCGAAAATAGGCGAATTCTAAGAAATATAAGGCATTACAAAGTAGTAGGGTTCGGGATCGGACGAAAATGTGTCGACAAAGGTTCCATCGGTAGGGGTATTCGGATGAGCTGGGCTGGTGTGCAAGCCATTGCGTACCAGTGGCTGCAGTTAACTGCCTGCGTGCAACGTGTGCGAACCGCTCAAATGTTGCAACCTCTACAGCCTCTACAACGCCGTGACAACTCGTCCACTTTGGATGTTTACGTTCGCTGAACCGGCTCTGGGGCCCTCATTATGCCTTTCTAGACGATACTTTGACCCAACAGCTTCCTTTGTACAGTTATTTATTTGGGGTCACAGGCCCATCCAAACGAAAAATCTTGGAAACCATTCTGCCTGTGCCTTCAAATCGTCAAAATTCGCTTATGAAGTGATCAAAGTTTATCAATCTCCTTTGAGTGGTGCTCCCCAAATTCGCCTTCCATTCAGAATATTATGATAGTGTTTTGAATGCATATGATTCTTATGCAGTGACCTGTGGTGACCATCCGATGTACCATGTGCTGAAACCCTTCCAGATGATTCTGAAGCCAACTAATCTACTCCGGAGGGATAGAGTGCGTGGTTGGCTTGGTCGGGTTTGACATATCGAAGGAAGGGCTAGGTTGACAATTCACCTGTATCACCTGTCGTCCCGTTGATCATCGACTTAGGTTGACAATTATCGTAAAAAAAATCAGTGGATGAATAGGGTGCACTCTCGTCCACCAATCACTACTGATCTTACCTCACTCTCGAAAATTCAAATGTGTCGATGCTAGTAAATTTTTACTCAAATGCACTTATCGTATAACATCGCTTGTTATCTAATTTTGAGGGCGTCCCGCTATGTTTTGCTATCGCCAGGTGTGAGATTTTAGTCCGGCAAAGTAATACTATGAGGTTGTCAGCAGTAGTAGAATTTTTCTCTCCTCATTTAACCCCCACCCCGCCCTTCCCCCTCAGTACCCGCAATTTCTTGTGTAAAAGAATCCCGCTCACTGCTACACTATCTCCTTTATTCAAGAGATTAAGAACGAAGACAAGGAAATAACTCCGTCGTTTCTGTACAGGTCGCTCTGGGAAAAGAGAGGAAGGTGGATAACTGATCGAGTCTGAGGGACAACACCTCTCAATTCTCTTCGAATTCAGCATAAGTGCCCATTAAAAGAAAAAATCGCAACATCTGAGAACCAGTTTGTGTACTCATATTTCACCTCACCCACTACGCCTCCTCCATTAATTGCCCTCTTTGTTCTTCTACAGTAATCTTGAGCATGATATTGATGGAGAAGAAAATGGGTGATGAACCAAACTAACAGGAAAATTAACGTTCCACGGCGGCCATTAGAGTTTATTGAAGACATCAGGGAGGAAAGGCAAAACCTGTGCTTACTAGGAAACGATAGATATGGCTTTCTGCAAAGTTACCTGCCCATCTCCGTTGGAATCTTTTGATTTTCGATCACTTGTCTTCCGGGCGTTACAGGAATTGACTTATGCGGTTGAGCAGAGGCTAAATGATCGGTGGACGTCCAGTTTTGTGCAGAAAAGGTTATAACCTCTACATCACCTCCTGTACCAACTTTTACTTATACTCTGCTTGAAAACAATCCGGTTAACTTCTGTCACAGTTATAGAGGATTCAAGATTTAGGTTAAAAGCTTCCAGCTAGAGGAGGGGAGCAACATTTTTCTTAAAGAGCTTGTCATTTATCTGTAACATGAGTAATGAGACGATCGACCTAAAAGGGAAACACTTGAAACTGAGAAGAGTAGGATGTGGGTTGCTTCCGTAGGACATCCGAAAACCAAAGCCCTCTAGAGGCGCTCAGCTCGAGTGGTTGTTTCATATGGGTGAAGTACTACAAGCTGAGGAAAGGTAGACTAAGAAAGGTGGGTATGATGCCCAGATAATGGTCGGTGTCATGCGAAGGTACAACAGGGATCCCGATTAGTATACTGTACTAGAGAATGTACAGGTAACATGCAAAATTACGTTTCGCAGTTGGTAGAGGGTACTTTTAGAAAAGAAAGGAAGATAAGTTGAAATTCAATAGGCTGCTCAAAAACATGTGGATGAAGTAAACGTTCAACTAATTCCGGATCTATGATAGGAAAGGAAACCTTCTGAAAGAAGTTCTCATCGAAGGTGACTTTTTCACCAGAATTTTCCAAATATAACCTTAACGTTTGGGGGTTTTCTTCGACTCAACGTCGACGATTCGTGAGACATTCGTCGGCCACAGACGCGGTCACACCTTCCGGTTCATCACGGCCCCATACCAAAGAAGGAAGAGATGGATGGGCACTCTTATCTATCATTACACATTGGTGCAGTGGCGTGCAGATGCAGTTTTCGTAATCGAATTATTATAAGAGACGTCAAGTACTGGACGTGTACTGGGAGTGCTTCTCCCTTTTTCAATCTGACCATTATGAATGAGAAATTTGAAAATGCTGGAAATTTCGAAATTTTGTAGGTTAAGTAGGCAAACGTCAGGTTTGAACCAGTATCCTTCTGGGCAAGGCGGAGGTGGTGTAGTGGCAAGTGGCGCACTATATCATACGCACGGTCAGGGGATCGAATTCCGGTCAGGGAATCGATGCTCACCTAGGCCAACCAAGCCTTCCACCCGTCCGGGGTCGTTGAATTGGTACCAGACTCGTCTGGGAGGATAAAAGCACTGACTAGTACATTGACTGGCCACCTCCAGTCATTGTAAAGGTCACATACGCACTCATTACACCTCTACAATCCTGAATGGAAGTCGAGTGCGGGGCGCTTCCCTCAGACGGGATTGATTAAGCCAAAAATTTTGTCCTTTATCCTTCTGGGCCTTTGTGGAGTAGCGCAGAGGGGCTGTATAACATGAGAAAGATCCATGAATCGGGTTCCCAGGTATGTACAGCCGTCGCTTCTTCCTAACAACTCATTGCCTCGAAATTTTCAATGCTGCTGTGTAGAAAAGAAAAAAAAAGAAATGTCAATTTATTTTCTGAGCTCATCTTAGCGAAAACGAAGGTCATTTATCATGAGATAATCTTGGTCTTGAAGATCGAGAAGATGAAATTGTTTCATAGTCCCCCTAATGGAACAAGAGGAGCAAAATCAGGCAACATCTGGAAAGATTTGTAGGTGACAGCAAACTACTCGGAACTTTAACCTTCCAAAACAGTTCCACCATCGCATCTGCTTCTAATGTCGGTACTTATAAGCAGCGCCTCTATAAATGCCTATTTTTCAGTCAGCCGGTCATGCGAAATGGGAGAAAGCCGATATACTCGAAATGACGGTCGACTACCTTAAAAAATTGCGAGCACTCAGAGGTAGGCTACTTAGACTCGGTTTCGTCCTAATTCTGCAAAGTATTTGAGAGAAAGTAGAAATAGCGGTGATTGTAGCATCGGAAATCTTGTTTTAAGTGGCTGGTGCATACGGTTGGATTGGTGGATAAGTCATGACGCTCCTCTGATGATCATCACTTTCAGGCCATACTCCATCGTTCAATGTCGCTGTCGCCTTGGAAGACACATCGTCGCATGCCACTAAAGAATGCGATTCGACGCCTCCTTCAGCCGTACCATCACCGTCCAGCGCTGAATCCACTTCTGATGGACCGACTACGACAAAGCGACGACGAACTGTTCCTGCGTTGACACCGCCCACTTCGGACGAGTCGCGTCCTTTTGCTCCTCCACCTACAATGTCAACCAGTCTCGCTACCTTGCCTCCTACAAAGATACCACCTACGATTTTGACACCCCATCTACGACCACCACCACCGCCTAATTTCAATTTTATGGCTCAGCATCTATTAGCCTTACAATATCAGCAAAATCTGAAAATGGCAGCCATTGCACCTGGAATGGTCCCTTCTATGACGCCAGTGCATCCGTTTGCGGCCATGACGGCCATTCCATGGAGGACTATGTAGGCGCTTCAAAAAGAGCTGACCATACTGCTTGTAAGTAGCAGAGATCTTGTCATATGTGTGCGTGCAGCCTTGTCGACAGACGAAGCCGTCACGTATTCGAACCCGGTCATCTTCTAGATCAGTATTATAATTCTGCCATTGTACATGTAACATTCACTTCCATAAGCCGCCTATGCTTTAGTACAGGACGTGCCGAGTAAGGAGAGTCAGGTATAGTAACGAAGTAGTAGGTCCAGATTGTTACCAAAAGCTTACAGTACTCACCGAGCACGATCACTATCTCCAAAACGAGCGATTGGCCGTTCTAAAGTTTGTGTATAAAAAGATCTATGACAAATTCGGGGGGGGGGGGGGGG